GATGGTCTCGAGTCCCTGAAAAAGTTTCAGCGAAATCGTAAGGGCCAATTTTTTTTCATGCCCGATGAAAGTGTCGATTTCAAATGGCGCGCCGAAAAAGCCGTGATGGTGAGGATTAGAGGCCCTCTCAAGGGTCGAAGGGATCGATTCCTCTCAAAGGGAGTATGATTTCTCTGTACCTGGGGATGGTCTCGAGTCCCTGAAAAGTTTCAGCTAAATTGTAAGGGCCAATTTTTTTTTATTCGAGTTCTTGGGGGCCAAATGGCGGTTGCTTTGAAGACCAAATGACTCTGCAGATAGGATTTGGGCTGAGCAACTCGGGTCTCGAAGGGATCGATTCTCCTCAAAAGGACTAACATGTCCTTGTACGTGTGACCGGGGATGATGTCGAGCACCTGAAAAAGTTTCAGGTGAAAAAGTCACCGGAAAAAGTTAAAAATAATTTTTTCCCCACCCTCCCCCTCCCTCCCCCCCTCCCCTGCCCCTCCCCCCTCCCTTCCTCCCACCTCCCATCCCTCCCTCGCGCTCTCCATTCGTTCTTTGCAGCTCCCCTCCGTTTCATTCTCCTCCTTCTGAATCCTAAGGGCGGCTGCGTTGAGACGATACAGCCGGAGCGCCGCCGTGGCGGTGGTAGGAACTATGAGACGGCGCGCGGCATCTTCCGCGATGTTCATCGTGTCCTATGTGCTTAGTGGGTAGCCGTGCTGATGGCATGCTGATAGATTCACACGGGTAAATAAAAACACAAGAAAGGTACTATACTATTCATTAAAAAAACATTCCCAGTCATAAGTTCGTTTCTCACTTCCTCTTTTATTTTCTTTCTATTTTCATCTGTTTGGACATAGAAAATAAACTAGCTGTCTCTTTACGTCAAAATTCTGTTTCTTTTCGTCAAATTCTCTCTTCCACAGTTCCACACATATTAGCGCCTACAAGACCAAGGTGCGCCTAGCGGTCGCTGCTCGGGCTCGCTACTGGTCGGCGCGAAGCATATTAGCGCCTACAAGACTGCTGGAATACTTCTCGCATGACGCCATAGGTACACACTGTGATCCTGTGATCACTGGTCGGCGTGAAACGCATTGATGCATCTCGACTTGCGACGTTACAGATTTCCTGTTGTAAATTTCTCTTAAATGGAAAAATACTCCACGTCAATGCTTATTAAGATGCTTAAGCCAGCCTCCAAAATCTAGAATCATTGCTCTTAAATAGGGAATGCTGCATCGACAGAGGTAAATAATAATCAATGATTTTTTGAAGTGATTTCTTCTTGCGCTTTTTAAACTTTTAACTTTTTTAATGTTTTAATTTTTTGACATTTTTAAAATTCCTTGTTTAACTTGTTTTACATTTAATCAAATCCCAATCAAGAGTGAAGTTAAGAGTGAAGTGAGCCAAGCTTTTTTTAAAAAAAAAAAAAATAAATAAAAAAAAAAAAAAAAAAAAAAAAAAAAAAAAAAAAAAAAAAAAAACTACCAAATGCAGCAATTTTCAAATCTATCAAGCAACATATGCCACTTCTAATTTTCCTTCATGTATAAAAGGCTACATAGCCACAAATCTCTTTTTTACATTTCCTTCGTCAATGTTGCTTATCTCCCGCGTTTATTCTCGTAAAAACCTGACAATTCTCCGGTTTTTCGAAAAAAAAATTTCGACGTCAGAGGCTTTTCACCCGGCACGAAAAATCTTTAATTCGACTAAAGCGCTGTTTTTTAGTATTGTTCCTTATGAGAGCGTCTCGGGACCGAGAAAAAGATAGACTTAAGCTTTCGTCATAATCGTCGTTCGACTTGAAGACTTTCACTATATTTTTCAGCATCTTTGGTCTGTTAAACAAGTTGGCAACTCTTATTTTTTGGCACCCGCTTTTTTAAATGATTTAATGATGGGCAAGCACAGCCCTGCTGAAAATGACGAGTAGGCTATTCGGAATTCGCCAACTCACATGAGTAGAACTTCCTACTTATATGGGTAGAAATTCTACCCAAATGAGTAGATATCCTACTTATAAGAGTAGAAAAGTTCAACTCATATGAATTCATTTTTTCTCATTTTTCAGAGGTGCTATTTCTGACCAGGAGACATTGACATAGATGAAAATTTGAAAAATAAAAACATTACGTTCTTATGATTTTTTTGATGCGGTGACTGAGTAGTTTCTGAGATATCGGACACGGTAGATTCAACGCTGAACTCATAATGTGAGTTGGAATCTCTAGTCATAGAAGTTGGCGAAAACTGGATAGAGAAATTCTGCTCATACGAGTTAAATTCTATTCATACTTATGAGTTGGAATTCTTTTCATATGAGTTAAAATTCTATTCATATGAATTGAAATTCTATTCATATGTGACTTTGATTTTCTACTCCCTAGTAGCAGAACCATAGAAGGAAAAGATAAAGATTAGGTATGTACGAAAGTTGATTTTTTTTTCATATAATGCATGCATACGAAAGTGTTAAAAGTGAACATTTTTATGTGACCATCACATAAAAAAAGTCATAATTTTCGTGAGCTTTTCGCAAACATACTAAAAAATCTTCTAATTAGCGAAATGCTCACAAAAATGATGACCTTTTTTTTTATATAATAGTTACATAAAAATGTTCACTTTTAACACTTTCGTATGCATGCGTTCTATAAAAAAATAAAAAAATTGTCTCTAAAAAAAAAATTACCATATCTAGCTTTTATCGTTTTTCATATATTATGGTCAGGTCTGAGCTTTGATTTTTTGTTATACAAGCGTTACACTTTTTTTTATCTAAAAGTATACCATTTAGATAACAGATATGTTTTTTTTTTATACTTTTTTTAGAAGAACAAAAATTTGTTCTGCTACTAGGGCATTTCGACGGTGAAACTACCAAACCACGTATCTCGTTTGCGGTGTTTAAAAATCTACGCTCACATTTTATTGTTTTGAAGTAGACCAAATCAATATCATTCCTTGAAATTTTCACGGAATTACCTCCGCACAAAGAGGAAAAATCACAGAAATTTTCAAGACTGGATGTTAAGTAGTTTTTCATTTAAAAAATAAAGTATGACAGGAAGTCTGCGACGTCGCAAACCGGGATGCGTGGTTTGGTAGTTTCACCGTCGATTTGTACTCACCATTTTTAGCAAGGAGAGCCGATGAAATGGCTGCGTGGCAACGCCGGTCATCGCGCGCGATTCCCGGGCGCTAGGCGTTGACGCGCGGCCTTTGACCCGCGGATAGCTTCAATATGCATCGATAAACGCCTTTGCGCCTTTGTTTATTATCTGCTCGTGCTTCCTCGTGTCCGCCACCCATCTTACATGTGTGTCCACAATTATCCACAATAAGATTTGTAATCGTGACGTACGCGACTAATTATGCGGTCTCTTTTTAACAGCTTTTTCGGCCGATAACACGCCGCCTTTTTCGCGCTCACTATCCCAGATCAGACTCGTGCACCTAAACAAATCTGAACTTTGAAACTTTGTATTTGTGTTTACCTTCCAGCTCCATTTTCCCCCCGCTCGAAATGTGATCCAGCCAGTGCGGCCGGCACCAACTTGGCAGTTCGACCGGGACTCGTTTTTCTCTTGAATTTTTCCCCTCTTTAAGTAAAGCACGAAAAAGTTACTCAAGTCACGAATAATTACCCTAAATTTCGTTTTCTCGTGAGGAGACAGAACACAATTTCAAATCGAACGTAAAAATAACAATTGAATTAAATAAACCTAGATATTTATCCCGATATTTGTTTACCAATTTGCTGAGGCCGAAAGATGCACTTCATAGTTTGATGTCTGAAAAATAGATCCAAATCTCTGAAGATCTTTTAAATAGCCCAATCTATGTAGTTGGATGGCATAGTTTTAGTGCGACTCGTTTCCGCGCAGCAGGGATTTACGCATTCTGGTTCTCAACTTGCCCCTGGACAATGAAGTCAATCCGGAATGCATTCGGTAAGCTATTCAACTAAAAAAAAGTCCGTACCTATAATAGGTCTTATGCAGAGTTAAAAATTGTAGATTTTGTATAATTTAACAATATGAAAATGTACATACTTGAAATTACTATTCCTGTACTCGCCCTCCGGGTGAAATAATTGATTAAGTATCTCGTCTGCATGCAGAGTAGGATATGTCTGTCGTTATAGATATTTCATATTTTTAGAATCCAGTATAGGGCCTTTACAATTGACAACTCCTTCATTGATTTTATTATACATTTTATTTCTGAATGTATTAGTTTTTTGAGCTACCTGTAGCCTCATTTACAACCACACGCACATTCTCATGTATGATCACCACATGTATAGGTACCTTCCTAGATTTTCCCTCAGAAGCTTTCTAGAACATAGTCTCTCAATTTTTACTGAAATTCTCGTTTGATTGAGAAAATTTTCCGAGCATTTATATTGAACCACAAACAAAATGTCAATTATTCACGATTATTCGGGAATAATTGTGCTCATATCACGTGTAAGTTCAAAATATTTCCTCGCTCTCCAACTGACATTTTCACTCGAGGAGATACACTAATTTATTTACAATAATTAATTGATACATTTTTTTCTTTTCTAAAAGATGCATGGACTTCCAATTTACTGCTGTTGGGTTTACTCAGCGGTTCTGACAAAAATTACCAAGGCCACGAATGACGCTACTGAGACAACTCTAAAAAGTTGAGCTGATTTGTTAACCAGGGAACGTACCCCTGATTTTCCCCCTCCCTACGTTTCTCGCACACCACGCGAAAGTCCTGATCCTGACTCTCAAAAGCTGGATCTGCCCAAGGACATGACTTGATAGAATTGTCAACTCCCGGAGCTTCACTCTACAAGTGGTGCTACGTTTGGACGTACTTTTGCTAAAAAGAATTATGTGCATAGGTTTTGTATGTAACATAGTTCCTTTTAGCATAGATATGTCCATTTCATTTGCTCTACGACACGTGTAGCTCCCCTCCCGAACCCCCTCCTCACAATCAAGCCCCCTCCCCTCTAAGGCTTCCGTTACATTGTGCGGCCACGAGAGTTAATGAAAATCGCAGCACGAGCGGGAAAGAACCAAAGTTGCCAGATCGTACTTTAAAATGTGAATATTTTGCATGGGCTTTAAATCTTAATTGCGAGAAAAGGCATAATTTACAGCAATATCTAGCTGGCATCAATGGAGTGAGCGTTCACTGGGCAGCAACAAGTGTTCCACTCCGTCACTATGCTGCCAATTTGTGGAGAGTCCCTTGCATCTCTTTAGAGACGACTCTATGCTAAATAAGTGAAAGTTTTTTGGTGTTAAAATTGGCATCATCCATCTGAGAGGGCAAAGTACCAGTCTCTAAATGCAAGGAACGTATTGGTATATCGATTGCTTTCCTTCCAATGAAGCGATTAATCGATGGCTATACTGCCGTGCTAAGGAAGAACGCCGTATAAACATTCGAGAGTTGCCACATTTCCTTCGATAAAATGTTCATTTTTTAAGAGAGTTGTGAATATTTTTCCGTTAATTTTTCAGAATCTTTAGATAAAATTGCGAACTATAAACTTTCCGAAAAATTGGGAGAAAAATATTCATAAATATACCAGGAAATTCGAGTTTTATCACAGGAAATTTGGCAACGCCACAAGGCTCATACGGCGTTTTTCCTTAGCGCGGCAGTATAGTAAAAAAATACGTAACTGCAATCGCGACATTGCAAACCTCTGCTTACTTTTTTGTTTAGTTTGAATGAAAAAAAACGACCGTCGGATTTTTTTCAAATTTTCCCTGAATTTTCTTTATTCATTCAAATATATCCACAAAAAATTACGATGAGATCTTTTGGCTACCTTTCTTTGGATCGGAGATTTTGAAACTCTGTATGCGGACTTAAGCGATAGGTACATTTTATTCATGACAAAATCGTAACATTGACGTTTAAATGCTCGACAGAAGCCTTTCGATGAGCCTTTCTTATCGAAATTCTTTATCCAGCCTTGACTTTAACACTAAGTGGATGCATTAAAGGTGCGCACCTTAATAATACAATCCCAACATTTTTACCTTTGAAGAATCCTCCATCCCTGTAAAAAGAGATATATTTATATCTTATTTTATCGTTGCTTATCAGTATCAATGAATTTGATAGGTATAAAAAACTTGGCGTCTTAAAGTAAGTACCTCTAATAGTTTGCCGCCGGTAAAAACAAAGACGTATTTTCATAGGATTTCCAACTTAAAAGAGGTAATTAAATAACGTCAGTGACTTGAGCTTTTCTAGTTGCGCTGCTGATGTAGGTAAACACTGCATCTTGCACAATTTTTGCTGGCAAAGTACCAACATGACGGGTCTTTTGTAACGCGCAAATGCTCTGGGGAAATAACGAGTAATACTCTTAAAGTTAAGAAATAATAACCGTGTAACAGAACTAACTGCCCAGTGAATCGATTTCCTTCAATCTCCCTTGGTTTTCAGCTTGCTCTTTGTAATGTTGCTAGTTCGTCGATTTTTTCAGATAACTATATTAGCCTTAGTAACAGCAACTACCATTTTTGCTGTTGGGGAGAAATGTAAAACAGAATTAATGAGATTCTGTAAAAGTCCGAATTCAACTAATTTTTAAAATTGTACCTACAGACAGAGAGCTCAATTGATTTTTTTTTTTAAATTAAAGAAAACAAAATTGCATTTTCATGACGTTTTTTCTGTCATTTTTCTGGTTATACCTACGTGTACACATTCTCACAAAAATAATTAATTTCTAAACTCAAGATTTACCGTTAGTTTCGGTTGCACGTTGAAGTGAGCACACACGTAACTTAGAAGTCTGTTGATAGTAGTACCTTTTTTTGCGTTTCTCCTACCTAAGTAATGTTACTTTAATCGTTATTAGATGCCTTAGCCGAGTCAAATTCAACCGAGACTTACTTGAAAACACGTACTCCGCGCCCCCGTGGCACAGTGGATCGAGTCAATTGGTGAGATCGGACACAATTTGGAAGCTTTAAACGCTTGAAACTCCGTTTATACAAACTTTTGAGGTTCTAAAAGTGGTTCCATTGGTTTCATATTGTAATTTTCTTCTCAAACCACCCTTAATATTCAAAATGTGACAAAATAAACATCAAAATTTGGAGTTTTAGTCAAAAATTTCATGTCCGACCGCTCTAATTGACTCAATTCACTGTGCGTGGGTTGAATCGGGGGGTCAAATTGTAGAAAAGAATAAAAGTCTCGTGACAATATAAGCGGAGATAAGAGAGACATATTCGGGTCTCGTTTTTTAACTTTCTTCCCGAATCTGAGGGACACGTCATTGGCAGTGAAGAGCGAAATATTGCAAGTTCACGCCTCGCGCCATGGCGCCTTCAATTTCACAGCTGCAACACGCATATCGATCAAGTACGAATAGATGTATCTCTGCGCCGTCATCAACGCGCATCCTTTCTCTTGCTCTATTTCAATGTTGTGGTAGCCCCGTTGGACGAGGAGGGATGAGAAAGCGCCAGTATGTCACCAAACAAGGTGTAAATTTAAAAAAAAAATCTTTCCATCTAAAACATAGAAGTGACTTAGGCAACACTTCAAAAACTATCAAAATAATAGATTGAAATACCCGGCTTAGGATTTTGCGTAAAAAAAAATTCTTGAGCATCTAAGGGTTAAAATATCGTTAAAATATCGACTAAAGATGTTTTGTCGTGGATGGAACTAGTAAGGGGCTGGAGGCGAGGCCTCCCCCCCCCCAAAAAAAAAAAAAAAAAAAAAATCTAATTGACCCCTCTCAAGTTATGTGAGGGATTTTGCCGAATAAGTCTGTGACATATTTCTCACGCCTTTCAAATATTAATTCGATCAATTTTTTGATAAGAATCTCTCAAAATTCCCTTAAACCACTGAGTTTTTCAAAACTTTCCGACGAAGACCCCCCGACTCTTCTTTGAGGCTAGGGACATTCCCCGACTCATCCTTAGGAACTAAGAGAGTCGAACAAATCCCCCTTAATGGACTGTTTTTAGTATAACCTTGATAGGGCGTCCTTCTGCCCCACGAACTGATCTTAGTTCCGAGCATGTCCTGCGGTTTTTATACAATTTGAACACTTTTGAGTTAAGAGAGTAAGTCAGGATTTTTCATCTGATTATAAGTTTTCCCGAATCCCCTCTGTTCCAAAAAGACGTAATGATACTATGAGTCGCCAAATGTTTTCATGTGCATGTTCTTGTTTTTTCCCCCTGAAATGCGAACTAATATTATTTCTTCCGTTTTGCAGGCAGACAATTTGCCAAAAGGACCAACCGGTCCATTGCGAAGCCCATCGCCACCGCAGCTCAAACAAAACCTGTCCCCGAAATTCCTACCCTGCCCTCCTGCGATGAGCCCGTGAAACCATACGAGGTACCTACAGTTTAAATTTGCGCTCTCAGCAGCAGTTTTGAACCGCAAACCTTTCAGGAAGGCTGTTATATTCAACTCGTTGCTTTGTTTCTGCACATGGATATCAAACATGAACGCGTTTAATCAAGTTACTCGTAATGTAGGCAATTTGGAATAAAATCAAAAGTTCACAAAACTTCTTCTTGCCATCAGGGCCGGATTAAGGGGGTGGCCACATGGGCCGCGGCCCATGGCGGCAAATTTTGCAATTTTTTAAATTTAGGTATAAAAAACATCGGATGGGGAAAAAAAATTATCAATGAGAAAAGGGGACAAAATCTCTCTTTTATGAGAGTATAGTAATTTCTAATTTTGTCGTTTTTTCGGTGATACAAGAGCCAGCATCTTTAATTAGTCGAGTTAAGAGAGGAACTAAACACGCAATTTGGTCTGGAGCTCAGCGCAGAGAGGTATGATGACTATAGGACTTGAAATGAAAAGGACAAGCCCTCGGCCGGCAGTCAGCATGTAACACATATTAGCACCTACAAGACTGCATGAATACTTCACCCATTGCGTCAAACACAATGCGGTCAGGAGCGGTTGGCGTGAAACGCATAGCGCCTACAAGACTGCAGGAATACTTCACGCATTGCGCCAATCACAGTGCGATCAGCGCGGCGCGGCCGCGAAAGTTAAAATTGTTGAACCACGTTTATGTTTGTTCTTTCAAATTTATTTATTTTTTTTTTTTTTTCATTTCTTCTAAATGGAGGACCTTGTTCACACATAGGTTTACGGAACTTAACTTTCGCGTCAAGTTCCGTGAAAAGTATTGACAGGGCTTTCGCAAAAAATGTATCCAACACGAGTAGGTAAACGCGTCTTATGCACCCCTCCCCCTCCGGCACGTTCACTTGATGGTTGTATTGATGTTTCAAAACGAATGAGAAGGGGGCGGCAAAATACAGGCGGCCCATGGGCGGCAAGTAGGTAAATCCGGCCCTGTTTGGCATGCATGGTGCAGGACACTTTGTAAAAAATCGAAGAGTGAAATTCAGTGCCGGAGTCTATAAAGCGTTCAAAAAACACCGAGCGGTATGAAAGCAATGTGAAATGAGCATCATATTAAAGCGCGTGACACTCTGTGGAACGAGTGGATTCCGCAACGTAATAGTGTGAGCCATTCGGTAAGAAGAATCGATTCCGCTTCGCATCCATCACTCGAGTTTTTGGGCGCTATACAGACTCCGGTACAGAATTTCACTCCAAAATTTTTAACAGTGCAGACGTAGGTTAAATATATTAATTTTCAATTTCAATCAAAGCACGGAGGGGGCTAAGACGTAGTAACCCTTTAATCGTTACTTACTCGCATTGATAAAAGCGTATAAATAACCAGGCATTTATTACGCGCATCATGCGTGATTTTCATATCGGTCAATCCCCTCTGATCTCTCTGTATAAACATTGGTTCTGCGTAACTCTGAAATCAGGATAGACGACTGAAGCGAAAAACTGGTTACAGCACAAGTTTCCCCTCCAACCCCCCCCCCCCCCCCCNCCGGGATAGTACTCTTCCCTGTAGGATTTAGTTGTATTGTTCCGTGAACCAATGGAATTTTTCTGCGGACTTACGTTAATCTTGCACAGTCTTCACGAATGTGTCTTTATTTAATAATTTACTAATACATTAGGTAGTTGAGGAAATAGGTAGTCTTAAGTTATTGTAGTCTTGAGGTGTAACGCTTCTTACATTGTATAGGAAGTGCAACATTTTTACATGTAAAGATGAGCTGAATAAATATTTAAAAAAAATCAGACACAATCGACGCAATATCTCCACGGTGTGTTCAAAGGCATCAACATTTCGCTACGATCGCAATAACTCAGACGCGCTTGAGCGAGGCTTTCATTTGAATTAATGAATTCTAAGAGGAAATTGTGAAATAACTTCATGCAAATATAATTAAGTACTTCATACCTTAGGTCATTTTCTAATGTGACGTACACAATTGATCATCACATTTTTCTTAAAAAAATTCTAGCAGCAGAAATACTTAATAGACTCGTTTACTCTTGTTGATGGTAAAATTTAAAATATAATACTTATGTTTGACATTTTTTGTTTATACTTCAGGAAAAAAACTAACTGACGAGCTACATTATGAGCAACTGCACCCACTGAAAACAATCACTCCCACAATCAGTGTATGTACCTAAGGGGCCGTTTGTAAACTACGGAATGCATGGGGGGGGGGGGTGCAGAGGGCCGGGGAGTGCGTTACCCCATTTTGTCTTTACTTGTTAAAGAAAGGGTAGAGATCTACGTCACAAAATCTGAACGAGGGGTGGGGGTCGAAAAATCCGACATTTAGCGACACGTATTTTATATAGAGGTCTCTAAAATGAAAAAAGTCCGACAAAACATATTCGCTAAAACTTGCATACGATATAATATGATAACTTATATTATTTTTTTGTTTCAGGGATTAGATTATGAAAAAATTCAAAAAATAAAGTCTGAAAGAATAGTACCATGTATAATGCAGTATTACAAGAAACCATTGCTGATTCATCACGGGAAGATGCAATGGCTGTTTGACCACGAGGGCAACCGGTACCTGGATATGTTTGGTGGAATTGTAACCATCAGTGTTGGCCATTGCCACCCGTAAGTTATGCTATGGTGCTTACTTAAAGGAGGTTATAAACAGTTTGCATTACGCCAAGAACAAAAGCAAAACTCTTTTATCATTTGTCGATACCACTGACTAAATTGAATTTGTCAATACTAAAAGTTTAATTCTTGATTAGTCAATTTGAAACTGATCAGAGCTCAGTTGTGTGACTTAAATTCCCAGTTTTGAAACTTTTGGCTTCGAGAGAGCCCAAGTTGTATAGATTGTAATTAATTGCATTTACATGCTCATGCTACTGCATGGGAGTGTTGTGTATGTTGCCTATCTACTGATTGAAGGCACCAGGTTTATCGAAATTTATTGCACTAAAATGGAAATAAGGTTTCAATTTTTCATTGCACTGCACATTACCCACCTATCTTTCTGACATTTTGCTGGTTATTTAAAAAAATTGGCATTTATTGACCAAATGATGTAAAAATATTGCAATATCATAAGAATTTAAATTTCATTGCAATAAATCACAATTTTGTTTCGAGATTTTTATTACACTAGTGCTACTTGGGAGTATAATTCCAACACTATTTTTCTATGCTATTTATCACTGCCACCAGCTTGTGAAGAATCCATAGTTCTTAGGATGAAATGTTTATACCTTGTAAAGTCGGGAGCTTTTTTAATACCTAGCAGTATGTCAAGAAGTCAGTGGTTATCTATCATTGTCTCAACTGATTTTTTACTTGTTTCCAGTAAAGTAACTGCAGCAGCCAAAGCTCAAATGGATAAATTATGGCACACGACAAACATTTACCAACATCCAAACTTGTACGAATACGCAGAAAAATTAACTTCGAAGCTACCCGGTGATCTCAAGGTATACTTAAGCGTAATTATTCCACGTAATTAAGGTCCCTAACTTTGCTGAGGATACGAGTGATTTTTGCATACTTTACGAAATTTCCTGCCGCTCGTGTATATGATAAGGTCCACGCGAGTCGCGCTTGTTGCAGAACTCATAATTGAAGGGGGAAATTCAGGAGTCGTCCTCGACCAATTTTGTGATTTCAAGTTCATCCCAGAGATTGACTTATGAATCTCAACTTCTGTTTCTCTGTTTTGTTTTTGTAAAGGGATTCTTTTTTTTCTTTTTTTTTACTTTAGCGTAAGTTTTTGGAAATTTTCGGTAGAAGTCATTATGGACTCTGAGAGCTCAACAGAGGTTTTTGCCTTTCTTTATTTTAGTTTTATCAACCCTCTTGGAGAAGTGACAAGGAATGTTTTTGGTTAAGATGTAACACTTCAATTTCCGCGACCGGATTTTTTACCCAAAAAATGTTTTTGAGGGTTTAATAAAATAATTCAAGCTTGATGTAATAGCCCATCTCTCGGTAGGATGCGGGGACTGAACGGTCGCAGAATGTTACTGAGATCGCCAAAAGCGCCCTCATTTTTTTCGCACGCAACATGGTCATCCTTAAAGCTAAAATAGTTGCATCCAAACGGTTTTGTTATTTCTAAGCCACTTTCCATCCATTTATCGACCGACACTCAACTGAAGTCTCTTTTTTAAATCCATTTCCTTCTTTCTTTGTTAATGCGAGCAATGACTCTTTAATTTTGACGTTACCAGTTGTGTTACACTAATTTACAGAGATAAATTATTCCTTGGAAACGAGCAAAAATCGCAAGAATTTTTGAGAAAACTAACGTAACGATTATTATATAAAAGTATATATTAAGAATAGAGTATTACTGAACTTTCAATAGAGCATAATGCAGTAAACTCACACTTTTCTCCTTTTCCCCATATTCATTCCTTCCTTCCTTTCTTTGTTTTCATTATTTCCCTTACCTTTTTTGGCCTTTTGTCGGCCTCCTGTGGTATAGTGGTTGTAGCGCTGCCGCTGGCCCTATAACCAAGAGGTTCCGGGTTCGATTCCTGGCTCTGATAATGGTCACCTGGGGCTGGTAGTAAGCATGGGATTAGCCAATAGGGGCTATTTGAAGCTTGTAAAAAGAACGAAAAAAGAACGACCTTGTGGGTGGATATCATCAATGCTTATAGAATTTGAAAATTACTTCATGCAGTCTTGTGAGTTGGTGAGGTCCACCTCATCACGGATGTTCTATTTTTTATGTCCCAAGAGCGTTATTGAGGCAAAATATTGTCAGAGCTATATTGATGGTTTTGTCTGATGAATTTTTCCCCATCAATGATTTGTTTTCCAGGTTGTTTATTTTGTAAATAGTGGCTCCGAAGCAAATGATCTGGCAATGATGATGGCTCGCCTGTACACGAAAAATTTTGACATAGTATCCTTCAGAAATGCGTATCATGGTATGAGCCCCTACATTATGGGCACGACCGCTATATCAACATGGAGGTATAACCTACCAATAGCTCAAGGGATTCACCACGTAAGTTTCATTTTACAGATTGCTGCATGTTCTGATCAGTAAATTAGAAAATATGTTCGGAAACGGACCAGTCGCCTCCCTAAATATTATTTTTCAAGATCTGCGGTCACACAGATAACGTTCCGAAAGTGATTGAAAAGTCTGACTTGAGGCAAACGATCGAAATTCGCAAAGGATTTACTCGATAAAAATTTGCGAAACATGCTCAGATTAATCATTGAATTCGCAGAGAGATCCAGGATCAGGCTGTCCTTCTTTTCGTAATTAGTATCTCAGCATGACATGGTGAAATGCGTATCTCTCATTGCGATATTGCAAATGCAGATTGCCTCTCCTGTTTTAATTTCATTTTATTTTTTAAAAGAAGAAAGAACCAGACGCAATTTTTTCCCTTGAAGTAGTATACAAATTTTCTGCATTCAATTGAGGGTCTTAGAGGGCAATACGCATAAGGGCAGTTTTTGCTATTTCGAGAAATACGTGTTTGAAATTTCAAAATTACATGGAGCTTTATGCTGGAACGGAGGTGTAATCTCAGTTTTTGATGCTTTAAAATTGGATTTTAATCGTGAATTTTTCACGGAATATACTTTCAAACTAATTCTAGTTGAGTTCATCTAATTTTTTTTAAGAAAAATATGCACTTGTGCGCCTTGTCCTCCAAAGCCCCCCCCCCCTCCAATTAGAGATCGTGAAACATCGCAATGAAGATACACTTTTTTAATCGATATATTTTGATTTGAAATCGTGTTGAAACAATATGAACCGCAAATACATAAATAAACATGCTGTAATTCATTAAAAAAGATCCACTTTCGGCTTTTTCAGCCGTCCGCCCTTTACCCATAAAAATTGAATTGTTTTGAATCTTGTTTAAACCATTTTGAAAAACCTGTCCAACAGTAAATTTTTAGTCTGTCAAATAGTCTATAGAGTTTCAAAGCGGCAATCCTCTCTTCCGCATTAGCCCGGGGAACGGAATTCAGACTCAAAGAATTTCAACATCCATGGGGGGGGGGGCGGAAGGGNCCCCCCCCCCCCCCAGGTAAAAAGGAGGAAGAAACACGTAAGAAAGAGAGATAGAAGGAACGGAGGAAAGAAGAAGAAATAGGATGCTTATATTTGGTGACATATTAATGACAAAATTGAGTCAAACAGCATGTTATAGATTTAAAATTTCAAAAGATTTTGATTCTCCTAAATGTCGCCTGTCTATGAATCTTGCAGGCTATGAATCCTGACGTATACAGAGGCTTGTGGGGTGGTCAACACTGTCGCGATTCGCCAATTCAGACTCAAAGGCACTGTAACTGTTCCGAATTTCGTTGTGAAGCGGCTCAAAAATACTACGAGCAGTTGGAGGAGGTGTTCAAGTATTCTCTACCAAGAGGCCAAGTTGCCGGACTTTTTGCTGAATCGATTCAGGTAAACAAAGGAAGTTCCGACTCTTCGAAGGTAAACCTCAAAGGAGTTAAACCGCGACAAACTGACCCCTTGGTCAGATTTAAGTTTCGCGTTGTCCTACTTTTTAGTGTCGCGTTAAAGTCTCCACAAAAACGTAGTATTGGGAGCGTTCATAAACTACGTAACACGGGTTATGAGCCTACCTTACGTTGCATTACCAGGGGGAGGAGGGATCTGATTCTGTAGTTACAAAATCCTCTCTAATGGTAAAAAAAACACACAAAATCCAAAATGCATCATCCTTATTTCTTAAACCTTATTTGTCACTTTACGATTAAAAATAATCCAAATTGTATACACCTACGTATTCAACAGTTTCCCACAATTTTTGGGATCTTGAGGGGGGGGGGGGNTTTCTTTGAGCGTTACACAATTATTAAATGGTTCGAGGTTTCGTGACGAATTTTTACGAGGGGGCTGGGGTGGGGGGTCAAAAATGCCAAAAAGAAGCGATACGTAATTTGTGTCGTACATTGGTCCTTCATGATTTTTTTTCCACAATAAGCAAATGGAGTTTCTAAGCTCTGATATAAGGTGCATATCAAATATGGACATAGATGGCTACCTATAGTGTTCGTATTTAATGAAATCGTCGAATATCAAAACATCTTAATAGTGATAGCTTACCAAAGTTCTGGAGAGAACTGAAGAAGTGTGGATTTCACCAGTTAGTACCTAAGAGAAATTAAGTAAGATATAATGTGTCTGATGCAATGTTGCTATATTGATGGTTTCAGGACATTCCGTCAATGATTTTTTGTCCGCGCACCTGTTTTGTCCAGTAGTTTACGTCCACGCGGAAAATAAGAGTTTTGTTGGAGGAAACTATGCAAAAATGAATAAAAATGGAAGAAAAACCAAGAAGCACGCAATCATTAGTTTTAACCTGTATAACTATGTACATCGATCTTTTAGAGTCAAATACGTTCAATTTCGACCGTTTGGTTGCGCGGACACCGCGCTGCAGCATAGTAAAAGCACAAAATATAAAAGAAAATATTAAAGCTTTGGGAATCATTAGATTTGACACGGAACCACCTCACACATTTACACACATTTAATACACATTTATACACAATTACACACATTTTATATTTTACTTAAATACAATTTTTTCCCCCGTCAATTTAAATAAGGAAAATCCATGCAGAGTGTCATAAATTTCAAAATCATGAACTGAAAAACACCGACTCATTTTATGAGCCATGACACAGAGGGGAGCGGCGTGCTACCGGCGCGAAACGCGCACTAACGCCTACAAACCTAAGGGGATACTTTACGCATTGCGCAATTCTTGAAGTATCCCCTTAGGTTTGTAGGCGCCATTTCGCGTTAGGAAATGGCCAGCCGCCCGCCGCGCCGCAGCGTGCCACGGCGCTTCTAGCAACTATTTCACAACAGAAGTGTTGCACAGTATCAAACGAAATTGAAAGCGCTCCAACATTTTAAGAATGATAGGCGCATCCTTTAAGAGTATGGAGCTTTCCTCGAAAAATAAATTAAGGTAATTACGGCACGAAATCCCCTGCTGAAAAAACGCGTGGACATAAACTACAAGAAGAACCAGGTGTGCGGACAAAAAATAATCGTTGTCGAAATGTCCCTCAACCATATTGATACAGGTAAAGTCCATTCTTTTTCCGTTTAGACCATTGAGGGTCTTCAAAATTGAGACTCCGAAAGCTAACTTATGCTTAATTTCAGCAAGGACGTGTGAAACAATTCTTTTACTAAAATTAAGTTTGGAACTTGGCATTTGTGAAAAAAGTTTGGAATTTTGGAAAAACACGTTCCACTAAACTTGACACATTATTTCTTTTTAACAGGGCGTTGGTGGAACCGTTCAGTTCCCAAAAGGGTTTTTAAAAAAAGCGTATGAACTTGTCAGAACAAATGGAGGAGTGTGTATCGCGGATGAGGTGAGTTTTGGTTCTTATCTCAAGAAAAACAGTGATCGTTAGCGAAGAATAAAAAAGAAAAATCATATTTTAGATTATTATTGGGCCTCCAAGTCTGTTTAAGACAACGTAAGTTTAGAAATTTGCCTCTTGACCAGACCCTTTATCCTCAGACATCTCAACTGAAGAATTCGATGACCTTTTTCCCCCATCCCATACACCTGTCGAAAAAATTGGCCGTGTAATTTGCTCCTGCCTAATTCTAAGTAAAATAAGGTATAATCCAAATAATTAATGTAACGCAATAACCTGATTTTCTAAAATCATTCCGGCTATCTGAGGTTGAGACGAAAGGTGATTTGGCAAAAGGTTATCTGAGTGACAGGCTTCCGGTTATCGCTGTGCAATTTTTTTTTCCTTTCCCTTCCACTTTTTTATGAATAAATCGATTTTACAAGTGGGTTAAATTATCGTTTCTTTCTTAGCATTTTTCAATAAAACTTCAATTAAAATCACATTTGTTAGTACGCGATATCTGATCTCGAAACTATGCATGTACCTGTTTCTGTAGGTTCAAACTGGTTTTGGGCGAACCGGTGGTCATTTTTGGGGTTTTGAAATGCACAAAGTAGTTCCTGATATCGTCACCATGGCGAAGGGAATTGGAAATGGATTCCCACTTTCGGCGGTGGTCACCACTCCAAAGATAGCAGAGACTCTCAATTCTGCTCTTCACTTCAACACGTTTGGTGGAAATCCGTTGGCTTGTGCCATCGGCATGTCCGTTTTAGAGGTAAGTAAGCGCTAAATTCAGGACAAAACCAAGGATTTACGTACAAATTTCACCGGAGTTATGTTTTTTCTTCTTGTGTGTAGAAAATTTCTTGGATTGGCCAAGTTTGGGACAGATGAACGACCTTTTTTCGGCTCAAGTCAGTATACATATCTGCTATCGATTTCTCTTCATAAAGAAGTGACTTTCCACAGTGCTTCACTTAGATACATTTTTTAAAGTTACTACATGAGTGTACATTGGAACCAAAGGAAAAAAAATATAAACATTAAAAATTAAAGGTGCGTATCCAGCAACGAGGATGTGCGACAAAATCTACGATACCTCTCAAGTCCTGTCGTTACCTTCACAACAACGCAACGGTGTGGACCTTATTTCATGGGATGTAAAGCCAACAATAAATGGAATCATAAAAATTCGGCGACACTTATCATCGCATACTTTTTTTGACGTCGCAGGTGTTTGTTAGTCCCAGGATGTTGGGCATTATCAATTATCATCTTTATGCTGTCTGCTATGTGCCCACTTTTTACCAATTCTACGTGTCAATGTTCATGCCGAATCTATATCTAGATTTGAAGAACGACCCAAGTAGCATTTTTCAACGGAAAAATCGGGATATATTGCAATTTTATCGGCAATAAAATCGCTAGGATCATCAAAATCTGAGCGATTATCCTCGATTTCATCGCCCGGCAATTTATCACGATATTTTTGAAATAAAAAATCGCGATAAATGGTGCTTTAATCTCGATTTTATCGCCGAAAATTGATCGCGATTTTGTCGAACCAAAAATTGCGATGTGTAACGATTTAATCGCCATACATCGCAATTTTTAATGCGATAATATCTCAATATATTGCCACCGATATAATCGCAATAACTAACCGATCAAATCGCTATCAAACGCGATAACCAACCGATAAAATCGCTATTTATCGCGATCACTGCTACTTGGGGACTGTCTCTATAAATCGAATTAAGTTCCTGTGTTCTCTTTTTAGGTAATCGAGGAAGAGGAAACTCAAGCAAACAGCGAGAAGGTCGGCACGCATTTTCTGTACGAATTAGCGAAACTACGAGACGAGTTCGAATGCGTGGGTGACGTCCGAGGCAAAGGGCTTATGATCGGCGTGGAGCTGGTCGAAGACAAGGAGAGTAAAATACCACTCGGAGCTAAAAACTTCGTAGAGATCTGGAACGACTGCAAAGAGATGGGAGTGCTCATCGGTAGAGGCGGCATGAATTCTAACGTAAGGAAATACGACCAATTTCTCCTGAATAGAATTACGAAATGAAAACAAAACCTTTGCGGTAAAGCCTCTCAGAGTATACCTATTGAGTTCTCATACTTGAGAGAGAAATCCCTGCCAGCCAAATCCATTCTTTTTAAAACTGTAATAATGTGAGAAGACTAACCTCAATAAACAGTGACCATTCCGGAAACCGAAAAGGGACCTTTGGTGATGAGGAGCAGTGCGACGTAGCTAGGAATTCTGTAAGGGGGGGAGGGGGTCCATTCAAAAACGTGCCGGTAAATTTTCATTACTTTGTTTACGTCTTTGATAATATACTTTGTCTGCCTCCCAAAAGTAAAAAAAAAGAGGTACAATTAAAGAGGCTGTTGGGGGGGGGGGGTCCAGACCTCCTGGACTCCCCCCCTCGTCTACGCCACTGATGAGGAGGGGGTGGGGAAGGAGCATTCCCCGAGGGGTCGGGGACTGTCCGGAAGGCTTCCTCCGTAAAATTGTTCAAATAGCAGCTTTAGCTTAAAAATGGTGAAATTTTAGTGCTTAAAATCAACGGATTTTTAACTCTTTTACTGTGATTTTTCTTAATGACCCCGTGCCTCTTTGCCATTATGCGCAATGTTGCCTCTTTCCTCTGCTTTGGTTTTTTTATTCTTTTTTAGGTTACCAGACACTAGAATGAGTTGAAAAAAAATTGTTAACAATTAAAGGAAATCCGAAATTCGTATGACTTGGATTTAATGAGTAATAACGAGTGATAAAGCAAGTTTCCGAGTAACAAACAGGTCTTTTTATATTTTAAATCTGAACATGGAAGGGTAAGAGTGTATAGTAGAGATTTTGTTTTGCAAGTGACACGGCGTTCCAACTGTAACGGAGGTGTATGAATTTATTTACTTACCGTCGTCCTCATACCGCGCTAAAGGAGGAATCGTAGTTCAGAGTCGGAAACTATGCTGCCTTGCTAAGGAAATATGACTTATGAGCCTTCCAACGTTTCAAAATTTCCCTTGATATAGCCTAGATTACCTAGGAAAATGTTCAGGAACAATGCGGACGGTATGGGCCAGGAGACTTCAACGAAAGGATAGAAAAAACACCTAAAAATCAAAATAAATAAGCAAGATGTCAATACGGCATTATGTACTTGAAATTTGACATCACACCACTCGCCACGTGGCTTTTATTTTAATATTCAGTGAAGTTGGTTTGCAATTTGATCGCCATCAGCAGAAACTTTGATGAAAAATATTCATAGCTTTTCTTACCAATGCATCCTATTGTGAGAGATATTTTTCAACATTTGAATGTTCATACGGCGCTTTTCCTTACCGTGGCCGAGCGTGTCGGTCAAATCATCGATAATTTCTCGAACGAAACTAATAGATCTTCAGACTTTGTACGTAAAAACGTTCAGAATACATGTCAATCGGTTATTACAACTGTAATGAACTCCGGTGTGGGGTCGGGTTGCGTCACTTGAGGACGAACTAGTAGCGATTTGGTTTTCAAGCAACTGATCACCGGCGCGGCGCACAGTGGATTGGGTGAATAGGAGAGGTCGGACAAAATTTGGAAACTTTAAACGCTTGTAACTCCGTTTACACAAAACTTAGAGGTTCTAAAAGTGGCTCTATTGGTTTCCTCGTGAAATTTCCTATTAGTACATTTAGCATCCCTTGAAATTTAAAACGTGACGAAATAAACATCAAAATTTACAGTTTTAGTCAAACTTTTCATGTCCGACCTCTTTAATTGACTTGATCCACCGTGCGGCGCCGTTGAGGTATGAGTGTATAACCATCATCCTTATTCCGCGATGAGGAGGAATCGCAGTTTAGGGATGAAAACTATGTTGCCTTGCTGAAGAAAACCGCTGCATAAGCCTTCCGCTGTTGCAATACTTCCTTTGATAAAACACGGACTCCCTTGAAAAATGTCTAGGAACTGAACAGATGATATTATGGGCTAGGAGACTTAAACGAAAGGATAGAAAAAGCACGTTAAAAATGGAAATGAATAAACAAGGTGTCAATACAATATTTTATACCTGACTTATGTTATCAGACCTTTTGCCTCGTGGCTTTTCTTCTAATATTCAGTGCAGTTTGTTTGCAACTTTGTTCTCAGTCACCTGAAACTTTCAATGAAAACTATTCATGATTTTTCGTTGAAATACTTCCTTTTTCGAGAGACATTTTACTACATTCAAATGTTCCGACGGTGTTTTTCTCCAAGCGTGGTCGAGTTCCAATCAATCGATGGTTCCTCAAATGTAAATTACAGGTCTTTATGCTACGTGGAAACATTCACAACACAGCCAACCTGTTGATGCAACTTAATTAACTCCGGTGTGGGGTTAGGTTGCATCACCTAACTTGAAGGCGAATTATGATGACACCGGGCCTCGATTTTTCCGGAATTATTTATCCTCGGTTCGAATCCAAACGCCTTTCGAATGTACCGAACGGTGATGGTTTAGTGATTTATTGTCTGCCTATTTATGCCTATATCTTGCTTCTATAAAAACTTTCCAATTTTTTTAAATGGCTGAACTTACGCATTCTTTATTTTGTCCCTCCATTGAAAATAAGATAGAGTCAGTTTCGACTCTAGTTTAGGGTGAAATTTGACTGTATTTCAATTTATTTGACTCTAAACGGCTCTGATATGACCCTAAAATGTCTCTGCTTTGCTTCAAGTTACTTAATTTACCCCTAATTTAGATTCTCATTTGGCTTATTAAGTGATCCCTACAAATCAACTGACTCGACTTGTCATTAATATATGGGAACAGATTATTTTTATGTTTTACTTGGAAAAACTATCAAAAGATTGTACAATACTGAAAATTTCTAGCCAGAATACACATAAGTACAAATTATTACTTTTTAAAGACGCCCCTCTTTATTTCTTGTTACAGATTTTAAGATTGAAGCCACCAATGTGCATCACCAAGGAGGATGCTGACTACACTGTGGATGTTCTACGATACGTTCTCACGAAACACGCCAAAAAAATACAAAAACACTAATAAATATGTTTGTTTTTGAACGACATGATATTGATTAGTACCCAGTGGATATTCATATACATTCTTGCTTTCAGAAATAATACTGAGCATTACACACTACTTACTTCCCAGTTCATCGGCCCGATTGAATGTAATCCCGTCGTCTTTGACCTTCAGCTATAAGTTGATTGAGATTGTGTCAGAGGTTCTAGTTTAATCTTGCTATCTATTAAATTATTCATTAACTTGTTCTCTTTTCATGTGATTAAACTCAGGCCTTCGTGGCTAGGAGAATGTCACACTCCTAGTACCAACTTGTAACATTATGCCAATAAACTCGGTAAAAAAAACCTTAGGTATTCAACTATGTACATTTTGCAAATTATGTCAGAATGGATATGTTACCGTCTGCGGGAACATAGAGTTGTCATGCAAAATACCTACTCGGTTTAGAGGCTTTTGTCGAGTCGGGTCGAAAAATTGGATCCTAAGATTTCGACGGAAAAATCTCTTTAGGAGTTTGAAGAATAAGTCAGGGATAAAAATTTGTGTGCTATACAGAGCGTTAAGCTGTAATGTATTATAATTCCGCCATTTTTCACTCTGGACATATCAGATTAGAATTAATTTCAGTAGCTCGTTCTTGATACTAAAATTTTTGGTCTATACCAACTTCAAACGTTCATATTGCGGTTTAGTCTGATATTTTCCAGCATGTCCTTGTCCCATCATGTTTGTAGAACACTCTCCTGTACTCTGGTATCAACTGCTCGATTTTAAGTATTTGTGGATCATGATGCTCATCTCTTAAGAATGATTTTTATCTTTGAAAGATATGTTTCAAATGTATAACTTCTTGCAATGTAGGTATGCTGCTGTTTTTTTTTAAGTCTATCTTTTTTATCATTTACATTATAAAGGCCATCACAGATAGGCAAAGTGGTTATAGGACATTTCGACAACGATTTTTTGTCCACGCACCTGTTTTTCTAGCAGTTTACGTCCACGCGTTTTTTCGGCAGGGGAGTTTTGGTCCTCTTACCAATTGAGACCCAAAGTTAATAAGTCCACGTGTGAATACATGTAAGTCCTAGTATCTGTATTCAAGAACGTTTAGCACGATTTTTGAACTTCATAAGAGGAAAAAGTGACTTGATTCAAGCAGATCTAACCTCGAATTTACCGCCGAGAGAATTTCCTCATGAACCAATAAAGAAAATAATGTTTGTTCAAGAAAATATGCTTACATGAAAAGAAAAGTCCGTCACATCAAACAGAAACCCGCTTTCATTCAGCTACTTTGTCTTGATTTAAAATAAATTCTTCTTGACTGCATACTCAAGGATGTTTCTGCCTAAATCGAGTCACTTTTTTCCTGTAATGACATTCAAAAATTATGCTAAACATCTTTAAATACGGATGCTATCACTTACTGAGTTTTTGGACTACAGCTCTCTTTTTGTGGAAAGGTCCGTACTCTTAAAGGATGCCTGTCATCCTTAACATGCGGGAGCGCCTTCAATTTCGTATGATACTGTGCAACACCTCTGTTGTGAAGTTGCTTATGGCGCCGCGCCGTGGCTCGCTGCGGCGCGACGCGACGCGGCGAGAGGGCGGTCGACGCGCAATGCGCAACGTGCATTGGCGCCTACAAACCTAAGTGGATACTTCAAGCATTGCGCAATGCGTGAAGTATCCACTTAGGTTTGTAGGCCGCTTCGCTCTGTGTTCGGCTCTAAAATTGGAATTCGCGGAGTCAGCATTTTTCAACTCGTGATTTTGAAATTTTTGCACACTCTGCGTGGATTATTCTCATTTAAATAGATGGAAAAAATATGTAAAGGAAAATATAATGTGTGTTTTCTAAATATTAAGTTGGTTCCGTGTGATATTTAATGACTTCCAAAAAACTTTAATTTTTTCTTTTATATTTTGTGCGTTTACTGTGCTGCAGTGGTGCACGTGCAACCGAACGCTCAAAATTGGACGCATTTGACTTTAAAAGGTCGATGTAAAAATACCAATGATTGCGTGCTTCTTGGTTTTTTCCCCTCTTTTATTCATTTTTGTACAGTTGCTTTCAACACCACTACGGCTAAATGATATTAATATCGATGCCACCTCTTAGAAGGGACTTGCCACGTTTTAAAAATGTATATATTTTTAAAATGAAGTAATATTTTCATAAAAAAATAAAACAAGACAAAAAAAGTGTTATAAAGTTTACTACTGTAGTAAAATTACTTTACTTTTAAGGATGGGTAAAAAACCAAATATCCACCGATGACAATCTGAAAATATGAATCAAAAGGAGAAAGTAACATTTCATTTAAATAATGAGTCACCACACCAACACCTCCTTCTCTCTCAATTTTCTCATTTCGATATTGTCGTAATTTTACGTACGGACTAAAATGTAATGCTTGGACCAAGTCACTGTTACTTATTTTACAAGTGGACTTAAACTACTGGACAAGACAAGTGCGCGGACAAAAAATTGTTGACGAAATGTCCAGGAACCGGTAAAGTAGCTAAGCGCTGAAATTTTCCGAAAATTGAGCCGCTGGTAATTTCTGGACTAGGCGTCTAGGTTTAAGTATACATTGCAGAATAAATGAAGCCCTAAAGCTTATTTTCTTGCCTCAATATTCGAGTTTAAAGACATAATGTAAACGGCTTCAATGTAATTTTTCAACCATGAACGTTTTCTTCGGATTTGCTAGAATATCACTTAACTTTTTCTTCCGCGATGCCCTTTCATTAAGTCTCAAAGTTCAAGTTTTTATATAAATAAACAATTCATTATTCATTATTTTCCAATAAAATTATGATAGTCTTTCACATTATACATATCCATTTGTAAAACCATCTACTTTATCCCTCGTTGAAAATCACTGTGTCAAAGTAGGTACGTCTTTGATAACAACTGCATGGACGGAATCGTCAAATGAATGAGTTATGAACTTCAATTTTACGAGTTTAAAAGGGGGTAGTCCATACTTACAAGTCGGCCTGTAGAAGAGAGGGGTAGAGACAATTAAAGCATCAACAAATTCTTCAGGTGGATTACATGTTGCAATAAGGAACCACTGTCTCTGGCTCTTCCATAAAAACACGTATCTTCATAGGGAAATCAAGGGCTCATATGTTGTTTCTAAAATGAACCAGTAATAGTGGTTCCTTATTCAAATTGTAATCCAGGTGCCAGTGTTGGGACTCTCAGTAGTGGCGGATCAAAGGTTTAAAGATAGAATAAACAATAAACCGCCTCTACAACCCCCCTTTGGCGCTCGGTCATCTCATCAGACTGATTGTGATTGGTGACAAGACCATATCACGGACATAAAATACCTATTGGCCAAAATCCACGATCAGCCTGAACTTCAGTCCAGGGCCGAATTTGGGGGGTGGCCAAATGGGCCGCGGCCCATGACGGCAAATTTAGGGGGCGGCAAATGTTGCAATTTTTCAAATGTAGGTATCAAAAAAAAAATCGGATTCAGAAAAAAAAATAAAAACGAGAAAAGGCGACAAAATCTCTCATTTCCTGAGAGTTAAAATATAGTAATTTTTAATTTGTTCGTCTTTCGGTAATACAAGAGACAGCGCCTTTCATTAGTATAGTTGAGAGAGAAACCAAACACGCAATTTGGCCTGGAGCGGCGCAAAGAGCAATGATGACGAGGACTTGAGATGAAGAGGAGAGGCCCTCGGCGCGCCGCGCCAGTCAGCATGACACACATATTAGCGCCTACAAAACTCCACAAATACTTCACGCATTGCGGCAAACGTAGTGCGGTCAGCTGCGGTTGGCGTGAAACTCATAGTGCCTACAAGATTGCATGAATACTTCACGCATTGCGTCAAAAACAGTGCGGTCAGCGGTGGTCGGCGTGGAACGCGTAGCGCCTACAAGGCTGTGAGGATACTTCACGCATTGCGTCAAACACAGTGCGGTTAGTGCGGTGGCGGAAATTAAAATTATTAAACCACGTTCACGTTTATGCTTTCATAATTGTTTCGTTCATTTCTTATAAATGAAAGGCCTTGACCACACAGAGGTAGGTTTACGGAACTTACCTTTCACGCTAAGTTCCGTGAACTTTTGATTGAAGTGTTGACAGGGTTTTCACAAAAAATGTGCCCAACGCGAGTAAACGCGTCTTACGCACCCCTTCTCCTCCGGCACGTTCTCTTGATGGTGTATCGATGTTTCAAAACGAATGAGAAGGGGGCGGCAAAATACAGGCGGCCCATGGGCGGCAAGTGGGTAAATCCGGCCCTGCTTCAGTCTGGCCGTCTGGCGTCAGTTTGATGAGTCTGCTGCTCGGTGAACGTCAGAAGTCAGCGGGCCGCCAAATCCTGACCATCAATGAACGTTCCGAATCAGATGAATTCCACCCGTCTTCTCACCCATCCATCTACTTAAATACAAAATTTAGTTGAAAAGATCAAATTTAAGAAATTCGATCGTTGAGCAAATGCCACACTGACGCTAAATTTAAGCTCAGGCTGATCGTGGATTTCGGCCTTATAACAATCGCGCGTACCTGTACGGAGCAAGAGCATTTCAATGTCGCCATGGGCGTAGCTAGGGGGGTCCTGGGGGGGGGGGGGGG